TTTAGCGCCGAGCAGATGGGTCGGCCGAACGGTTTAACCGGGACTTGGAGGAGAAGACTCGGGCGAGGCTGGAGGACTGGGGTTTCTCAAAGAGTTGTGGGCGGAAGCCGTGGTGACGGCAAACTACACCCGGAATCGGACGCCCGTGAGCGCCCATGGAAGGACTTCCTGGGGAGTTTTCTTCGGTGAAAAGCCCAATGTCGGGCATATGAGGGTGTTTGGGGCCCGCGCATTCCGCCACGTCCCCAAGCAGGAGACGTAAGCTAGATCCGGTGTGCAAGGGATGTGTATTCGTGGGGTATGAACCGGACTCAAAGGCGTATAGGTTGCTCCGAGACCCTGACGGGAAATCAATCATTTCTCGGGATGTCATTTCTGGCGAGGGGATCGGGGGCGACGGGGTTGTCGAGGTTGGCTCCGACCCCACGGGCAATTCCCAGACGGCGGAGTGTCACAGTGCGCAGATTCACACGGAGGTCCAAGAAGGACTCAAAGTTGAATCTCTGCGCGAAGTGACGCGGCCGCGCCCGCTTTCACAAACGGGCCAAAAGAGGGCAAGTTTGAAACTATGCGCGAGACCAGGGCAGAGCCTCAAGAGATTGAGGAGGATACTGGGATGCAAACACTGGCTGCTCAAAGGTACGCCGCGCGTGAGAGACGCGCACCGGGGGAGTGGTATCGCGCTAACTTTGCGGAGGAACCGAAGGCAGGGGAGCACCCCAAAGGACGGGGAAGCATCCAGAAGCGCATATCTATCAGTAGGGGGGGAAGAGAGTGAACTATGGCGGAAGTCAATGGATGAGGAGATGCGGCCTTTGTTGGAGAAGCACAACCTGGGAGCTTTTTAAAAAACCGGAAGGGGTGAACCTGGTTCCCATGAAGTGGGTTTACAAATTCAAGCCGGACGCTCATGGAAATGTGGAGCGATACAAATCTCGACTGGTGTCGAATGGGTATCCGCAAAAGCAGAGAATTGACTTTGAGGAAGCCTACGCCCCGGTGAGCAAGCACACCACATTGCGTGCATTCTTGGCGGTGGTCGCGGAGCACGACTTGGAGCTTCACAGCTGGACGTCAAGACGGCGTTCCTCGATGGGGAGTTGGAGGAGGAGATCTACACGTAGCAGCCGCCGGGATACGAGCAAGGCGGGCCCAACATGGTCTGCCGCCTTAAGCGTACCTTGTACGGGTTGCGCTAGGCGCCACGATGCGCCTAAAGGAGGAGCTCGGGAACTTTGAGTTTGTGGCGTCAATGGCGGACGCGGCGCCTTCACGAGAATAGTAGCTGAGAAACGGGTCTACCTAGTGGTGTGGGTAAACGACATCTTAGTGGCGGCCCAGAGAGCGGACCGTATTGCAAAAGTAAAGGCGCATTTTGTTAAGATATGGGGTTCTCTTTGACGGCCAGATTGTGATAGAGTTAGGCGGGGTTAGAGGGTGGTTCCGCTCTATTTCCATATGTTAGAGTTGGGAGGTAGTAGCCTTGAGTACGCTCTAATGTCACGTGATTGAGTCGTCCCTGGAAGCGTAGGTTTGATTCACAAGGTCGGCCGTACCATTGTGGGCTTGCATGGTTGAAATCCACCATAGGATGCGCGACAAGTGAGCCGTAGGATTGTGTCCATTGTGAAAGGGTTCTTTTGTGATATGTACTTCGGTGTAGCCGTTCGATGGGTTCTTTTGTAGGCAACGACGAACACGAACCGTCGATTTGGCCAATGAAACACCTAGGGTTAAAGCTAGACTTGAGCTAGGCAATAAGACTTGGACTACATGAAAAGAACCCCACTCATTCATACTACCTAAAAGATGCTTGTTGGAAGCTAGGGCGCTCCTTTTGTGAAGGCGCTTGTGTGTGAGGGTGGTTGAACCCCTCGTAGGTTCCAAGCATGAGCGTATGATTTCAACACATTTGAAGGAGAAATTCGACGTACACGACTTGGAGGAGGCGAAATTTTTCCTCGGCATGGAGCTGACGCGCGAAAGGGAGGCGCGCACCCCGAAACTGACACCAAAGAAGCTGACGGGAGGGCTAGTCGGACAATACGGACAGGGGAGCGGAACGGGGGACAAATTGACAAAGGGGGTGAGCCCCTCGACACAAAGCGGTTTCCCTAGAGTGAGTGCATTGGGAACCTATTGTACTTGAGTGTGTGCGAAGGCCCGACAAGACAGTGGGCGCGCTTGCGCGCTTTATGGCGGGGCCGATTTAGGAGCAGTGCGGCGGGCGGCGCTTGAAGTTGTGCGCAACCTGGCGGCTACGGCAGAGGACGGGGTAACCTTTAGAGGGAGCGGAAAGACTCTCACGCTTATTGCGACGCGGGGTATGCGGCTGACCTGGACACAAAGCGGTCCACAACGGGATACGTCTTCTTGATATACGGGGGGGCTGTGACCTAGTCGAGTAGTGTTGAAAGCATTTCCCTCAGCTTGTCATAAGCTAGAGTATAACTACCCTCACACATATGCGCCTTCACAAAGAAGCACCTTTCTCCCTTCAAGCATCTCTTACAATGAATGTCATCACATGACATACTTTAAAGTCACTCCAATTCTACGTGTACTCTAGCCTAGGTCGGATCTACTTCCACCATGCACTAGTCGGTTCAAATATACGGACTCCTTTATATCAACTACTACTCACAATACGGCCTGTATGCCACTCGGACTTGTGACCGGGGCACTATACTACTAGTGGTCGGTAGTACCGTACTGCTAGTGGTCGGGGTGCTATACTACTCGAGTCGACGCAAATCTATCGAGCTGAACTTAACAATTTGGCCGTCGATTCAACGGTTTTTTCAACAAGCAGGCTGCAGCCAACGGTGGCGGCCTCAATAGTCGAGGCGGTTTATGAGGCCAGAGCAAGCGGTGAAGGAGGCGCTGTGGTTCCGCAAGCTTGGGGGAGATCTTGAGTTGGACTTCGGGATGGTCCAGATCTACTGCGACAACCAAGGGGCACTATGGCTCCTCAAGCATGCAATCGTTTTACAGCGATTGAAGCACATTGACGTGATTCACTACTTTGCACTGGAGCGTGTGGCAAGCAAGGAGGTCGCGTTTGCGTACTGCAAGACGGAGGACATGACCATGACCAAGGCGTCAGCACCGAGGAATTCTTGAGGTGCAAGAGCGAGATAAGAATTGCATAAGTCATTACACAACGCAAACACACTCATTGGGCCGTTTGCACGACGGCCACTGCCAGTGCACTGAAATTTAGCCCACGAGTCGCGATCGATCGCGAAAACGGAGCCTCGAAATTTCAATTTGAAAAGTCAATAGGGCCCACTTGTCGACCGCCGTAGCTCGAAACTCACCGTAAATTCACTCAAGGATTTTGGATAGGCCAAAACTCCCACCGTGGCAGTTTGAGACTTTGACCATAGAATCTATTGCAACTTGGGAATTACCTTGGACTGCTCGTAATAAAGGTCTATTCCAATTTTCAGAACCAAAATATCGTGGCACACGTACTCAAAGGCAGGCTACCTTTACCACCCTAAAAATTGCCCTTTTTGACCACTTCCGGGTCTGGAGTGGTAAAATTTGCCTACCGCGCGATTTCGGCTTCACGACTTCGCGAGCGGTAAATTTGCCGTTTGCGTTGTTTAATGTGTGGGAGTGTTGAGATTTGGGCATTTGGTGTGCGCGATCTCTTGGGTGACTTCAACGGGAGTTCGACGATAAGCAAGGTGCGGTTAAGTGCGCGCTGGTAACAGCGTTACACCCGATGACTTGTTGAGATAACCGCCGTAATGAGTAGCTTCGATAATAGCCGTAGATATTCAGATTTGCGCGAAAATTCCGGACTTGCTTATCACGGTCATCTGAGCCTACTAGGTATGGACTTAGTCTAGGAGTGTGACTCTACTTGAATGAGGCTAGCATAGCACGCGGACTACATAGCTTTGGCGCCGCTAAACTCCGAACACTCGATATGTATTGTGTGAACTTGTCATTTAACCATCCACTCCCAACAACGCCGTGTTTCAACAAGTCCTAGACATGGTTTTCTTCAAAACGGGGCTCTTAACTCAAAAACAATTCAAAATGCGTTGAACATATACCTGTACATCCTCTTGAACAGCTTTTATCCACCGCACATGAAAACCGCCTTCCCAAAAGGCGAGCTTTGTCGATACTGTCTCCGCAAGTCGTCTGCAAGAGGGTTCCACCGCAATCAACAGCTTATTTACTACAAATTGCGAGCTCACGGTTATTCAAGAGCTTTTCTTCTGAAGGCTTTGAAGTGCATCAACTTTTCCGACCGCCACTGCCTGCTCAAAGAAGCTTCATCGCATTCCTCCGCTGCAACAAGAATCCCTCATTCCGCCTTGCTTGTTTTCTAAACGCAACACAATGATTGAGTTGCAAAACTCCGCCTGAGCGCATCTCTACGAGAACCTTTTCTATTTCGTAATTTGGCCTGAACTTAACGGCTTTCTACGTGTTGAAACTCTGGATAGGGAGTCGTAATGTAATTGAGACACTCGTCATTGGGTCTTCTCGTGTTGCCCGGCAATCATGCTCATCACTCATTGATGGCAACCATGCATCCTAAGTGGAACACACGAAGCGCCCGACAAGCGGCTTCCTTCTCTCCACAAATTTCTCTTAGAATGATGTATCACAATAGTGGTTTCCACCACTATTGTCTCACGAGTCTATCCCGTTCCACTAGGCTCACTAGCCTAAGTCACACACTACTAGGCTCACTAGCCTAGCTCACAGTCACACTCAATCTTAGCCTTCGATATCCTCATCTACGGCTTACACTGACGGCCGCTCTCAACGCCTAACCTCCAAGCCGCCTAACGGTTTAGCCGTCAAACCGCCGTACACGCATGTCGGCGTTCACTAGTTCAAACCCTAACTCGGGCGAACCCTAATCACATAGTAATTTGGCTGACCATAATCACCGAATACTAACACTCCCACTCAGACGAATTACTCTAAGCCTCTAACTCGTCGCGCTCCTCTTGCGGGCTGTCTTCTTTGCCTTTGGCGTCACCCACACGCCTCCACTGTCGCCATCGTCGCTCTTCTCCGGCGACATCTTCTCCACTCCGTGCTCCAGCTCTTCGGCTTCCACGGCTTCCGTTGCTCCCACATTTGCCCGATACCACTCTGCGGGCTCCCGTCGCACTCTCGCGGGACATCTTCCCAACACGTGGGACTCCATTACAAGCTTCTCCGTTGCCTGTTCCACACCGGCGGGCTTGCTCTCTACCGCCGTTTGTGGACTCTCCTTGCCCTTTCCAATCTCCTCAGACACCTCCACAACTTCGCGCATCGTTTCCACAATCGGCCCACTTTGGCCTTTCTTTGAAACTGTGCGCGCAACGCGGCCGCGGTCCATTGCGGGCGCGTGCGCGTCCCCCTTGCGCGCCGTTTCAAATTTCGCCCCTTTTTCGACCATTTCTAAATCATGCGCGCATTGCTCCTCTTTTCAAACTTGTCCTCCAACTTCTTCCACGCTTTCTCTGCAGTGGGTTGACCCTCAATCAATTCACATATGCATCTTCCGTGTGGATCAGCATCAGCCCCCTTGCTTGGCTTGACACTTTCTTTTTTTCCACGGACTTCGGTTCCTTAACCGCACACAGCCATCCCTTGTATCCAAAAAGCCCACGGAACTTGGCCTTCCATGTTGACCAATTCTCACCACACAATTGCGGGATCGACACCCTGTCTCCCGCCATTTCAACAGCACTCTCGTCTAGATCGATCTCCACGACCTTCACCGTCCTTTTCACCACGCTTTCCGCTCGTACCAGCCTCTTTGCCGTGGCGCACACCCGGTTCCCCACGACCGGACCCCTCGCAAGAAATACTCTTTGTTTCCCCACGGTCTAAATCTTCCATAGTCCTCCACGCTTGACTGCCTCCATACGGACCACATTGTCCGTTTCTATCTGCGCGGTTCTTCCCTCGAGCACCACTCGTGCTCCAGCGTCGGTCGCTCTAGTTAGCGAGAACAAACTCGCCTATGCCCTCGGAGCGTGCCGGACCTCCCTCAAAGGTACCGTACTCACACCGCTCGGGGTCTTACACTGAAGCTCCACTTCTTCAATGCCCACTGCAATCAGAGACTCACCACAGATCCCCACGATCTTCTCATCACACACAAGCTCTCTGTAAAGGCTACTCCGTTTGTGTCTCCTGCGAACTCTTTGTCCTCCGCGCGGCCACTTGAGCGCGCGCTCTGCCATACATTGCCTCTATGTGGCCCTCTTAATGGGACCTTCCTTTCCAATTTCCAATTGCTATTGGATGTTTCACACAGGTTTGATGCACAATTTGCTTGATCTCCTGCTTAGCTAGGAAAACTAGCTGTTCAATCATGTCCTAAACCCATCAGCCTAAGCGTGGAAGCGTGTCTGCAGCACGCCAAGCATACCAGCCTCAGCCTAAGTGGGCATGACTTTGCAAGACTGTACTAACTCCGATGATTATTGTCCTCCTCTCTGTAGACTGATAGGCTCTTGGAAGGGTTTTTGGAGCTACAACTCCACTTGTATTGGCTTAATAACAACCCTAGTAAATTTATTCTTGTCCAAAAGTCAATCGGAAAGTTTTTGCTTGGAAGTTAGAGCACCCCAAGAATGATACACAGATCTAACACTGGCGGCATGCCGTTACTCCAACAGACTATCAACCTGCCCCAACCAAGAAACTTCGGCAATGCACCCTCCACTTAACAGAATATGCTGGATTCAAGCCTCAAAACTGATTCTGCACTCCTCTCCGGCACAAAATTCAAATGCGAACAAGCAGGAATTTAAGAAGGCTAATTGGCAGCGCTTCTTGTCGTCAGCAGAGAACTGAAAGTCTTCTAGTTCACACAATCACAAATGGTGTCATCCGTTCGTACAGGCTTCACTAGATTTAGGCAATCACCTTAATGGTTCAGCATGTATAGAACTGCGGCCTCTAGAAAGAAAGCACCTCAGAAGTATTGTTCACTTTGATCCTGATTTGTGTTTCATGACGTCCCAATAAAGTAGTAAAATCTAGTAAGAAGCAAGCACTATCAGCCTTTGTCAAGCATGATTGCAGACGACGATAGCCCTCAAGACTGGCCCGATTGTCTTCTAATAACCTGGAAGCACCTTAACCTGCGCCGCACTGAGAGAAGCACAAGCGGCTTGAACTTCCCAATTGCCTGATTGACTCAACCAGTCAAACCTCTAACTTTGCCGCTCTTCTTTCGGTTGACTTGTGTACTTCCTACGCTGTCCAGGAGAACTCTCTAGACACTCAGCGCAACTGACCACAACAGCGGTGGACTCAGCATCTGGCCTTTACTCGAAACCTATTGACCCGGTGCCTGGACCAGGTTACCAAGTCCACCTTCTTGCTGGGAAACACGCCAATGCCAGGGATTATATAACAGGACCTCACACGAGAGAGAAGCTAGCCCTGAATTGTAGCGGAACCCTTGTCTGAACCCCCTCAAGCAATTCACTTTAATGCTGCTCGAGCATCTAAAATATCACAATAGCTACTCTGCTCATCGGAACTAAAATCAAAACAGATACGCAACTCATTAAACCAGAGCAGTTTGGGAAGCTGCGGATGTCAGAATATAACTCAGTTGTTGTAATCGGTTACCTTTGGCCCTGTTAAGGCCTTCCAAATGCATGCTGGCATACTCGAAGACCCCCATCACACCAAGACATTCCAGCACCACTGTTGCTGCTGCCACACTGGGAGGCAAACACACGAGGGAGCGCCATTGAAAGCAGATTGCCTTTGCTGGGCCCTTTTGCAGCGGGCATATCCTGTGTGGGCGCATCAACTGCAAAAGCACCTAGATGAATCTCGTGATTCCCTGTGGTGAAGTGTTGTAAGTACGCACCGTGCCACGTCATGCCGACGTCACGCGAGTATAGTCCAGTTGGTAGCGCGCTTGGTTTAAGTACGGGACTCGTGACGTCGGCATGACGTGGCACGGTGCGTACTTACAACAAAATGTGGGAC